AGAGAAGGTTATGCTAAATAGACTTCATGCTTTATTGTTGATGTCTCCTTTTGAAAAAAAGGAAAAAAAAACCATTACAAGTTGGTGAGTTCTCAACTTTATCATCGAGTTTCAATTTAACGGATTCAGAACAACTAACAAAATTTTTAGTAAATGTAATTGAGACAGACGATAAAAAATATTCTGCAATAGAAAAAATAGGTAAAGAAGAGATTGGTAAAAAAGTCCCCGGATGGTCATACAAATTAATAACTGAATTGGAACAAATATCGTATTTTAGAAATCCACCAGATGATCATGATATTCGTTCAAGAAAAGGGATAAGTGTATTAATTTTTGAAGAGCCTAAGACTCTCAAAGATAAGACTACAAACAAAGATAAGAATACAAAAGAGACAAATATTCAAGCTATAAAATCCGACAATGATGAGAAAGATAAAAATATGAAAAAGAAAAAGGAAGATGAGGATAATAAGCTTTATTTGTTACGATATCCGCACCAATCTGATTTTCGCCAAGGCTTAATAAAAGACTCTATGCGAACTCAAAGACGTAAAATAGTTATTGAGGGACTTTTTAAAGCAAATGCGCATTCCCCTCTCTTTTTTGACAGGATGAGGAAAAAAACCTTTTTTTCTATACCATACCTGGCTCAACTGAAACGACTTTTTATAAAATGGTCATCCAGAAACGAGTTCGGTATTTTAGAGTCTACAGAGGAAAAAAAAACAATAATAAAAAGAGAAACCAAAAAGGAAAAGAAACGACGAGAGGAAATAGAACGGTTAGAGATAGGGGAAGCCTGGGAAACTTTCCCATATACCCAAATAATAAGAGGTTTGTTATTAATAACCCAATCAATTCTGAGAAAAAAAATTCTATTACCTTCATTCATAATCGGGAAAAATATAGGGCGTATGCTACTATTTCAAACTCCTGAATGGTCTGAAGATTTAAAGGGATGGAATAAAGAAACGCATGTGAAGTGTACTTATAATGGTATTCCGTTAGCTGACAAAAAATTTCCGGAAAATTGGTTGACAGAAGGTATTCAAATCAAAATTTTATTTCCTTTCTGTCTAAAACCTTGGCACGAATATAAATCACTAACTTCTCGTGATGACTTTTGTTTTTTAACAGTTTGGGGAAGGGAAACAGAACACCCTTTTGGTCATCCACGACAAACACCTTCGTTTTTCGAGCCTGTTTTTAAGGAACTTTACAAATTTGTAAAAGTAAAAATCAAATTTTTAAAAAAGTTTTCAAAAAAAAAAACAAGTTCAAACGAAAAAAGAACAATACACCCGAGTTTAATAAAAAAAGAAAAAGATGATCAAATAAATAACCAGATAATGAATCAACCCTTGAGTAAAATTGAAAAAATTACAGATTGGAAAAATTATTCACCGATAGACAAAATACAGGCTATTACTCATAGGACAAATACAATTAAAAAAAAACTAGAAAGAATTACGGAAGATAAGAAAAGGCTGACTCTAGAACTAGATATGAGCCCTTACAAAAAAAGTTCGAGATTAGCCTTGTCAAAAAATTTTTGTCAAATGTTAAAAATAAAAAAAAATAGATTAAGATATAAATTTCATTATTTTATAAAATTATTGATTCAAAGAATATCTAACTATATTTTTTTATATACTATATCTATTTGCCAAATGACTGAAAAACTCTTTGTGGAATCAACAAAAATGAACTCTCTTTCAAATATAAAAACGCATAATAATAAGCGTTATAAGGAAAAGCCAGAGAATTTTGGTGATTTATCTAACTTGTCACAAGCATATGTATTGTACAAAATATCACAAAGGAGTTTTTTGAACGTATCTAATTTGATGTCTGTTCTTCAACAAAATGGAACATCTTTCTTGATTGAAAAGAATTTCTTTATTAAAAAAAAAATAAAAGACTCATTTCATAAACAAGGAATACTTCAATCTGAAGGAATAAAAAAAGAACTTAAGCGGTCTAGAACGAGTCAATGGAAATTTTGGTTAAGAGGGAATTCTCAATACGATTTATCTCCTAATTTCTGGTCTGCCTTAAGATCACAAAAACAAAAATGGAGAAATAGGGCGAATCGCTATCGTAGGTCTAAACAAAAAGATTTACACAAAAGGAATTCCAGTAGAAAATTAAAATTAAATAATTACAGGAAACAAAAGGATGCTAACTCAGTATTTAATAAAAAAAAAAAAGATAATTTTAAAAAATGCTGTCAATATGATCTTTTAGCATATCAATACATTCAGTATGAAAAAAATAGTGGACCCCCTCCAGGAGCTAAACGGGAAACGATTTCTTATCATTACAAGATGTCACAAAACAACTTGTTTGCGATAACGAAAAATCTTCCTATCACTAGTTTCAGAGAAAAAATAGAAAGGGTCAATATCCCCTATACAGACAAAAATTTAGAGAGAAAATATTTAAATTTGAAAAAGATTAATTTTTCTCTTGATAAAAAAGCGGATATTGAGTCCTGGATCACGGGTAATGATAACAATACTCAAAGTACTCCAATTTTCACTTATAATTATCAATTAATTGATAGAATGGAAGAGATTGTGAAAATTGAGCAAATTTTTAAAAATGAAAAAGATCCTTTTGCTCTTTTGATTCAGACAAATACCGAAGAAAGGAATCTAGTAAATTCTAAAAATTCTTTATTGGATTGGATGGGACTGAATGAAGCAATACTCGACCGTCCATTAACGGCTGAGGAACTTTCGGTCTTCCCAGAATTTCTGTGGTTTGTTAATATATATAAAATGAAACCATGGATTATACCAAGCCAATCACTTATTTCTAATTTGAATCTCAATGATGAAATGACGAATCAAAAGATCGGTAAAATTAAGAATAAAAACAAAGATAAAAAGGATAAAAAGAAAACTGAGGGTGAAACCAAAGGTAAAACTGAGAGTAAAAAAAAAGATAAAGCCGAGGGTCAAACCAAAGGGGAAACTAAAGGTGAAACCAAAGGTGAAACCAAAGGTGAAACCAAAGGTGAAACCAAAGGGAAAACTGAAGGTGAAACCAAAGGTGAAACTGAAGGGGAAACCCAGGGGGAAACTGAAGGGGAAACTGAAGGTGAAAAGAAAAGTCAAACTGAGATAGAACTAGAGTTATTCCTGAAAAATTATTTATTTTTTCAATTTAGAGAGGATGAGGATGTTACTTTTAATCAAGGCCTTTTCCAAGATCTCCAGATCTATTGTCTCTTGCTTAGAATGCTAAATCGAAAAAAAATGATGCTATCATGGATTCAAAGGGAAAAGTTAAATTTGGGTCTAATGCCACAGATGAATCAGGAAGAGAGTATTCAAGATTCAAAAAATTCAAAAAGAAATGTTCCAGATTCAAAACAGAGTGTTCCAGATTCAAAACAGAGTGTTCCAGATTCAAAAAATTCAAAAAGAAATGTTCGAGATTCAAAACAGAGTGTTGCGGATTCAAAAGAGAGTGTTCCAGAATTTTTAAAAAGGACGGGATTTTTGGTTGACCCCCTTCCGCTGTCTATCAAACCAAACGGAGAATTTCTTATGTATCAAACCATAGTTCTTTCATTGGTTCATAAGAGTAAAGAAATTCTTAATCAAAAATACGTAAAACAACGAATAATTCGCGCTGAAGAGAACAATAATTGTGATCCGCTTCTTATTGAAAATATTTTATCATCTAGGCGTCGTAGAGAATTAAGAACTCTAATTTGTTTCAATTCAAACAAATGGAATGGCGTGGATGCAAATTCTCTAGTTTCCAACAAAAATCAAGTTTGGGAGGAAAGTAACCCTCGGCATAAGGATCCGAATAAATTGATTGAATTTTTTCTTTGGCCTAATTATCGATTGGAAGATTTAGCTTGTATGAATCGTTATTGGTTTAATACTAATAATGGGAGTCGTTTCAGTATGTTAAGGATCCATATGTATTTACCATTGAAATTTAATTGGTGGAAATTTAATTGATAGTAGTACTATCTACCCTCTAGCAGGGTAGATGGTACCAGGTTAGATGAAAAGCAATGAATGGAAATATACCTTATTTTAATTTGTATCTAACTGAATCGAGGATACCATATATTTATTTAGATCTATATAGATACTTTCTCCCTCATCCAAAGAATATTAAGTTGAAATAATTCACTTTTATTTTATTAATGAACCCGAAAAGAGAGGGTTTTCTTTTGATTTGAATTGATAGACTTAGTTAGAAGAATTCTTTTTTAGCAATAAATGTCTTTCACATCCAGTGATAACCTGTAAATCATTTTAAATGGCAGTTCCAAAAAAACGTATTTCGAAAGCCAAAAAGCGTATTCGTAAGAACATTTGGAAAAGAAAGACTATTGAGGTAAGATTAAAAGCTCTTTCATTAGCAAAATCTCTTTTAACGGGTAAGTTTACAAGTTTTTTTTTACAAAAAAAATAAAAAAACATTGGATTCATTTCTGTCAAGTTGATTTCTTGTATAATATTTCTTCTTTTTTCTTATCATTTTCTTTCTTTATTTTTCGTTAGTTCGTTTTAGTTACTAATCAATTATTTCATATCTATGAAATAAATCTATAACTTAATTATAAAAAATTATTTTAAATGCATATTATATATCAATGAAGGGAGTTCATTTAGTTTATGATAAAAAACTTATCTCTTTCGACTATTTATAAAAACCAAAACCAACAAAACAGAGGTTCCGTTGAATTTCAAATATGGAATTTCACCAATAGAATACACCGGCTTACTTCCCACTTGAAATTGCATAAAAAAGACTATTTATCTCAAAAAGGTTTACGTAAAATTTTGGGGAAACGACAACGACTTTTAGCTTATTTATCAAAAAAAAATACATTGCGCTATAAAGAATTAATTGATAAATTGGAGATTAGAGAGACAAAAACTCATTCATTTTGAAGTTGTATAGCTTTTAGAACCTATTTTATACGTAAATTTTAGAACTACAGTCTGGGTACTGAAACAATT